AAATTTGCTGTCACACAAGAGCCAAGAGATCATAATAACTCACTATATACATAAACTGCAGATTTTTGCTTTTGCCCCTTTAGCTTCTCAGCACTTACAGCCAACACATTTCAAATGTACAGGATGTCTTTCAAATAACCTAGGCAAGATTATTCTTCTGTGGTTCAAGGTTGTTGATAAAATTCCAGTGACAAATGCTTTGCTTTAAGCTCCTACTTTACTTCTAATCCACTGAACAAATGTGTCATATATTCTGCCTCTTAACAATATCAATTTTATTTTCTTTTAAAGCTGCCCCCTAGTATCCAGCACATATTTTTACTTAAATATACAGCCTATGCCTGTGATGGTGAACTTATGGCATGTATGCCAGAGATGGCATGCGAAGCCATTTCTCCTGGCAAATGGAGGGCAAGGAGGAATAAGAGGAACGCACCCCTTCTCTTTCCAGACCCTCTCCAGTCTCTAGCTGCCTCTCAAGAGGCAGCTGAAGGCGAAGGATGGCACAGGGAGTGGGGGGAGGAGGAGGAAGAGGTGCATGCCCGTTCCTCCTCTTTCCAGACCCACCCCAGTCTTCAGCTGCCTCTCTGGAGGCAGGTGAAGGCTGGGAATGGGGGAGGAGGAGGGACAGGTTTGTTCCTGTTCCTCTTCTTCTCCCCTCACCCTCCTAAGCAGGGGTAGGCAACCTTTCCCCTTTAAGGGCAGAGGGACTTCAGCTCCCAGAATCCCAGGAGCTATTGGCCAACATGGGACTATTGGCCAACATGGCTGAGGATGTTGGCCAATCAGCTCCCAGAATCCTCAGCCATGTTGGCCAATAGCTCCTGGGATTCTGGGAGCTGAAGTCTCTTGGCCCTTAAAGGGGAAAGGTTGCTTACCCCTGCCCCTAGGCCTTCAGCTGTCTCGGGAGAGGCAGCTGAAGGACCAGGAAGGGGGGGAGAGAAGTCCTGCCCCAGAAGTCCCACCCCCCAACACTGGGTGACACCCGGTGCCAGAAGACCTTTTAGTTTGGGCACCTGGCCCCTAAAAGTTTCACCATCACTGGCCTATACACTATAAAGTGTGTTAATTTAGGTTTTGCACACATTCAAAAGTGATAGTGTGTTAGGGGGGTTGCAGACTGCCAGAAATAGTGCAAATTGAGTCCACTTTAAGGGTTAGGGTTAGTGCTAGGGAATCATGGGAATTGTTTTTTTCTGAGACATTGAACCTTCTCTGTCAGAGAGCTCTGGTGCCACAATAAAATACAGTTCCCATGATTCCCTAACACTAACCCAAAAAGTGGACTCAATTTGCACTATTTCTGGCAGTCTGCAACCCCCTTAGTTATGTTTTCAGCGGCTAAAACACATTTGCAAGCTAAAAAACTTTGGGTTCCACTTTCTACCAATTCACCTTCGGACAGTCCTCCAGTCCTTAACTTATCTGATAAGCAGGAGCTTCCTGTACTAATTCCTTAATAGCCAAGAGCTACCTACAATAAAATATCATGAAATCATCTCAGATAAAAGCATAATGGACTGCACTTCTAGAAAATATTCAAAACTTGAGCTCTGTAAAGCATTTGGCAGGGGAAAGACATCAAGAAAAGCATCAATTTTTAGGAGAACAGGTGACTTGTGAACGGTGAGGAGGATATTTTTTTCTTCCATCCCTGAATCTATGATTACTACTGAAATTATGTACATAGAATCATAGAGTTCTCAGAGACCACAAGGGCCATCCAGTCCAATCCCCTGCCATGTATTAATATGCCCAAACAATAAAATTTACTCTATCTTGCTTTAATAAAAACCTACAAATGCAATCTTGCATAAGATCAATCAGTAATATCCAGCTTTCTCTAGGTTCAATGAACAATGCTATTTTTCTCTCATGTGGAGTACTGAAACTGTTTAACTGTTATACCTATTTGCTGGTTTAAAAAAAATCTACAACACTGTTTTTTTTTAAAGACTGTTTTTTTGTCAGAGATTCACAATCAGATATCTTTTTTAGTCAATTAAAAAAATCATTCTGAATTGCATGAAAAATTAATTAGCTGTCCACAGAGAATCAGACTGCACAATATTTGCACAATGCAGCAATATAGCCAATGTAGGTTTAGTATTACATTACACCATGTAAGAATAAAGTCCTTTTTTTATACACAAGTATTGCCTCTCATGTCTACCAAGCAATTTGGGAAGGCCACAATAAAAGCAACAATACATATTTCACTTTAGAATAAGAATACCAATATTGCCAGTCAACAGACCCTAAGATATTCTCCCTGTTTTAAAGGTAAATCACACTGAAATTACAGTCACACTGCACACTTTCACTTTCATCTGGATTTACATGTACTAATACATTGCTTCTTTCTGCATTATTATTGTTGTTCATTTATATTCGATCTTTTCCCTTGGGATTCAGGGCAGCTTACAAAATGCCAAATACAGATTAAAATGCCTCCATTACAGTAGAAACATAAATAAAATATAAAACATGTACAACCCAACTGTTTCTTGGGTATGTATAGAAATTTTGTAGCACCTTTGAGACTAACTGAAAAAAAAGAGGTTTGTACCATGAGCTTTCAGACTTTAGTCTACTTCTTCAGATGCTATGGTAGCCAGGGACAGACAGGAGTGAAGGAGTTTAATTGAAGATAATTGAAAAGGAATATTGGTGTAGGTTCCGACTGAATGTACAAGGGAGTAAACCCAGTTTCATTCAGTTCAGTAGCCAGAATGCTAGTCACATGCAAATGATGGCTTGAAGCTGAAAAGGAGGAGCATACACTTTTTACATTGCTAAGTGTGTATGGTAAAAACTAGCACGAAGCGGACTGTTGGAATCTAGGGATCCATTATTTGCTACAACATTTATTGGTTGCCAGAATATCAGTATGGTGTAGTGGTTGGAGCGTTGGACTATGATTCTGAAGATCAGGGCGCAAATCCTTGCTAGAGCATAAAACCCACTGGGTGGCCTTGGGCAAGTCACACTCTCTCCGCCTGAGGATGGCAATGGAAAAATGGAGGATGGCAATGGAAAACCCTCTCTGAAGAAACAGAACACCTTATGATAGATTTGCCTTAGGGTTATTATAAATCAAAAATGACTTGGGAGACACACAGCATCAGCAACACTATCAGCTGCCACCCTGCAAACTGCCAACCAAAAAGTATCCTTGGTGAATAGATCCTCTCTGATCAGGGCCCCCCTCCCATTACTGGCCAAAGAAGTGCATAGGAAACGATCCGGGACAGGATGAAAAAGGATCTTGCAGTACTTTTGAGACTAACTGAAAGAAAAAAGCTGGCAGCATAAGCTTTCATAGACTTGAGCCTACTTGCAAACATGCATCTGAGGAAGTAGACTTACAGCCTTTACAGACTGCCAGAAATAGTGCAAATTGAGGCCATTTTAACTGCCCTGGCTCAGTGCTAGGGAATCATGGGAATTGTATTTTTTTTCTGGGACATTGAGCCTTCTCTGTCAGAGAGCTTTGGTGCCACAATAAATTACAGTTCCCATGATTTCTTAGCACTGAGCCAGGACAGTTAAAGTGGCCTAAATTTGCACTATTACTAGACTCCTAAGGTACTATTATTCCACTTTAACTGCTATGTTTGCTACTGATGGAATCCTAGGATTTGCAGTTTTGAGAGGGGCATCTAGCATTTTCAGCCAGAGAGCTCTTAGGTCCGGAATTCTATAGGAGGCAACCATAGCTGTCAAAATGGAATAACCATGCTGAAACAGTGTAGTGTGATATTGTCCTTAACATAGCTATGTCTTTGAAATCTACCACTCAGGAGTATCATAGTACATCCCCACCCACATGCCCCAGGAACTGTAACAGAAAGACACCCTGCCTTTAATGAAACAGATTTATCTGTCCTCCAGGAGCATTCCTAATCCCCTCCAAAAGTCAGGGTGAGCCCATGTCCTTAGTGCAAAGGAGGACAAAGCGTGACAAAATGTAGGACATTCAAGGAAAAAATGGGGGGGCATGACCAAGGAAAAGCTAAGAACATTCCCATAAATAAAAATCCAGGCTTCTTAGCCATGCTGAAAATGGAAGACATTTTGGGAATTTTCCTGGACAGAAGGCTAGAAAAGGAGGGGAAAGAGTTGACTTGCAAAAGAGACTCCAGCTCAACATTAGGAGGAGAGCTGTTTGACAGTGGAACACACTCCCTCGGAGATTGGTGGAGTCTCCGTCTTTAGAGATCTTTAAACAGAACCTGGATTATTATTATTATTATTATTATTATTAAGTATTTATACCCTGCTCTTCAGATGGCCATCTGTCGGGGATGCTTTGATTGTGAGTTCTGCATGGCAGGGGGGTTGGACTAGATGACCCTTGAGGTCTTTTCAAACTCTATGATTCTATGAATTCTATGACACAATAGCCCTGTTTAAATATTTGAGGGGATGTCTTATTATGGATGGAGCAAGCTTGTTTTCTGCTGCTCCAGAGAACAGGACTTGGAGTAACGGATTCAAACTCCAGGAAAAGAGATTCTTCCTAAACAGTAGGAAGAACTTACTGACAGCAAGAGCTGTTTGGCAGTGGAACCTCTTTAGGGATCTTTAAACAGAAGCTGAATGGCCTTCTATTGGATATGTGTGTGTGTGTGTGCTTTGATTGTGAGTTCCTGCATGGCAGGATGGGGTTGGACTGGATGGCCCTTGAGGTCTCTTCCAACTCTAGGATTGTAGGACCTCTAGTCACCCTCCCGAAAGGCCCCCACAATATTCCCCCCTAGCGAATCCCACCGTGTTGCCTCATGTTGTCCGAAGGGCTTCCCTTTGCTCCCCCGGTCCAGCCTCGCCCTTCAGAGGGACCCCTGCCCAGCTCCAGCGGCCTAGAGGGAAACTAGGTCTCCCTCAGGGACAAAGGACGCCGACGCCACGGCGGATGGGCCCCTGGGGGAGCCGCCTTCGCGCTCCTCCTCAAGCCCTCGCCTGCCTTCTTTCTTCCCTTTCTTCCCGCTCCCAGTAGAGCCAGCGTGGCGTAGTGGTTTGAGCGATGGACTAAGACATTGGGAGTCCTGGGTTCGAATCCCACCCCAGCCATGTAAACCCACTGGGTAACCTTAGGCAAGTCACATCCTCTCAGCCTTGGGGGAAGCGCCATGGCGAACCTTCCTCTGAAGAAGCTTTGCAAGAAAACCCCATCATAGGCTCTCCTGGGGCACGTCACACTCTCTCAGCCTCAAGAAGAGGCCATGGCAACCAACCCCCCCCCTCCCTCGAAGAAACTTTGCAAGAAAACCCTGTGGCAAGTTCTCTCAGTCTCAGAGGAAGAGGAGGGGAAATGGCGAACCCCTTCGGCACAAATCTTGCCAAGAAAACCCGGTGACAAGTTCACACTCTCTCAGCCTCAAGGCCGAAGAAAGGTCATGAAAACCCCAGGGTAAGGTCGCCATAAGTCGGACAGGAGGCCCACAGCGTCGAAGGGCTCCCGCTCGCAGCCTCACCATCTCGTCGCCTCCGGGCCCGTTGGGCTGGGCGGCCGCCGAGGGGTCGGAGGGTCCCGGGCTGGCCCTGCCTTCGGGGGTCTTCCTCTCGCTCGCCCCCGAGGCCCGCCTCCGCCGCCGCCGCCCCCAGAAGTAGAGGGCTCCGGCGCCCAGGAGCAGCGGCGCTCCCACCGCCAGGGCCAGCTGCCACCGAGGGAGGCCCGAAGCCCCGCCGCCGCCGGAGCCCCCCGCTGAGGCCTCCACAGGCTTCGAGGCCGCCATCTTCCCCGCGCGCCTCGCAGCCGCCGCGAAACCAGCCGTAGGAGACCCGGTGAGGGAGAGCGAGGGGGTCACCGGAAACCAGGGGCATCACGGGAAAAAAAGCGGCCCAAACAGCTTCCGCCCGCCGCCTTCCCGCCGGTTATTGTGCCTTTGCCTGCAGCGACACCTGCTGGCGGGGAAGGAGTAAGACTCCCTCGCGGCGTGAGGAGGAAACAGCCTTGCCGCTTGTTATTCAGCTTTAAGTTGCAGCGACGCCTGCTGGTAGTATGGATACGTCAGAGCGTGAGGGGAAAACTGTCTTCCCACCGGTTATTAAGATTTAAGCTGCAGCACCACCTGCTGGTTGTGAAAAGTAAGGGCGCAAGGAGGAAACCTCCTTGCCTCCTGTTATTAAGCCTTAAGCTGCTGCGACACCTGCTGGTCGTGAAAGGTAAGGGCGTGAGGAGGAAACCGCCTTGCTGCTTGTTATTAAGCATTAAGCTGCAGCGCCATCTGCTGGTCGTGAAAAGTAAGGGCACGAGGAGGAAACCGCCTTGCCCCAGTTATTAAGCCTTAAACTGCAGCGCCATCTGCAGGCAGAGAAAGAATAAGGTTCTGTAAAGGGATGAGGAGGAATCTATCTTTAGGTCAGCAGTTCTCAAATAGTGGGGTGGGCCCCCGGGGGGGCGTGAGGCTCTGTAAAGGGGGGCCCGTTACGGCTGGAGAGAGGGAGATTGTCCCAGCGCAGCCCCAGTAGCAGCCCGCCGTGCTCTATCCTGATTGGTCAAACCCACCCATGTGACTATTTACAGTTGCGGGGGGGCGCAAAATGTTTTCTTCTTTCCTAGGGGGGGCGTGACAGAAAATAATGGAGAAGCACTGCCCTAGGCTGCAGTGACACTTGCTGGTCGGGAAAAGTAAGGGTCTGTCACATGGGTGCACTCTGGCCATCCATTATTCAGGGTGGCCAGGCAACCTTTTCCATTACCTGTCCTCCATTTCAGCCGCCTTTCCAGGAGGAACGCCAAAATGTTGTCCATTTTGAGCAGGTCTAAGAAGCCTGAATATAAATTCATATAAAGTATATATAAATTAATTGTTGGCAGCCTTCAAGTCATTTCCAATTTATGGCAACCCTATCATGGGGTTTTCTTAACAAGATTAGTTCAGAGGAAGTTTGCCAGTGCCTTTCTCTGAGGCTGAGAAAGTGTGACTTGCCCAAGGTCACCCATTGGGTCTCATGGCCAAGTGAGGAATTGAACCCTGGTCTCCGGAGTAGTCATAGTCCAACACTCAAACCATTAACACTATGCTAGCTCACTATATAAATTCATATAAATTTATGTAAGCATTTTTAGCCTTAACTTTGTCATGGCCTACGTTTTTCTTGAATGGCCTAAAATTTGCAGTGACTTGGCCTCCTTTGGGGTTGGATCATCTGGTTACAGAGGGGCATCCCTTATTTGAGGGTTGGAAAGGCTGTCCCTGATGGATAGGGCTGAGGGGTGTCCAGTGGCATTACTAGGGGTGTGTATGGGGTGTGTGTGTAGGCCCCACTGGGTGACATCCCAAAGGGGGATGTATACCCAGTGGGGTGATACACCCCAAAAAGGGGGTCTGGTATACCTGCTGGGCAAGTGAAAAAGGGAGTTATACATCCCTTTCTCACTTGCTCAGCAGCTGCACAAGGCCCCAAATTGCCCTCCAGAAGATGCAGCACTGCCCTCCCCCAATGGTCCTCCAGTGGCCATTTCCTTAAGCCGGAAAACTCTCGGCTTCGAAAAAAACCCATGCTGAGCGGTCCTGGGAGCAGGGATGGACCCGGGCTGCACTTGGGTGGTGATTTCGGCGGCTAAATCCTTGTGATAACATCAAGATGCCACCTATTTTAAATTTTAAGCCTGCTCAGGTAAGCCAGTTTAATTAGTGCTGCGATAATCTCCGCAGCCTCAGATGTCACTTGTAATTTACTGTTGGGTTCCTTCAAGTCTTTTCTGGGTTTTTCTTGACAAAATTTGGCTAGAGGAGGTTTGCCTTTGCCTTCCTCTGACTCTGAGAGAATGTGACTTGCTAGGCTACCCAAGGGGTTTCCACGGCCAAGTGGGGTTTAAACCCTACTCTCCAGAGCCCTAGTTCAATGCTCAAACTGCTACATAACTACTGGCTCAACAGTCATAACTACTGCAGGGTTAATGTACATGTGTAAGATGCCCTAGTTTAGGCATGTTCAGTTTCAAAGATCCTACATGTATATTTAGGATTTATAAGAAACGACAGTATTTATAAAAACTAGTCACAACCTGTTTTTCTTTGTAGCCTTTTAAATTGGTGGATTACAGGTATATGCTATACATGTTGTACTACACCAGGGGCTGGCAACCTATGGCCCGTGGGCCGGTTCCGGCCCAGATCCCGGAACTTACTGGCCCAGGAGGACCCCTGCCGCCGCCGCTGCGCGTTTTGGCCACCATGCGGCCACGTGCACCGCGAACGCCATTTTGATTTCCAAAATGGTGGCCGCAATGCATTTGCACATGCGCAGGAGTACTTGCGCACCGCCATTCCCCCCCCTCGGCCCGGCAGAGGGGAGGACTTTGGGGGACCGGCCCCCGGCTCAAAAAGGTTGCCTACCCCTATACTACACAGAATGTAGTTGCAAAGATCTAGCTATGTCACTTTGTTTCAACATAAAATGTTGTAAAGGAATTCTGAAGCACCTTTAAGACTAAGTAAGAAAGAAAAAAGAAAAGAAATTTAGTTCATCAGATGCATAGAGTTAAACCCTTGTGTGGACAGACATAAATACCAAGGTGGGAGTGGAGGACATGTGAATTGTAATAGACATACAAAAGATATGGGTATGATAATGGAATGACACAGAGGCTTCTCTCCATGCATCTGATAAATTGAGGAGGTGTACACAGAAGCTTATACTAGAAACAACTTCTTCTCATTTAAAGGTGCTACAGGATTCCTTTATTTCTTTTTAAATAGAATTACTTAGTTGTTGTCATGTGCTGTTCCGACTTAGGGCAACCCTCTAAAGTATTGATGTTTTTTAAAAGAAGGATACAGAGGAGGTTTGCCATTGCTTTTCTATAAGATGGTGCATCATAAGCTAGCTGATGTGGGGAACTGGCAGATCCCTCCCCCCATGTGCTAGGGACTGAAACTTTATTTGTGACCATTCTTTCTGTTCTGGAAACTGGCCACAGACCAGCAGCCAATAGCCTGTAGATTGGCACTGGTCCATGGACCATCACTTTCAGTCGCATTGATCTAAAGCTAAGATAAACCCTTTGAAAGAGATTAGGACCTCCTGGGATCCCCTTGGTCGCTGGAGGGTGACTGTCCTAAGTGATCACCTCAAAAGTCTCCAAGAACATGAGCAGGATCACAGATCCTGTGGGGTGTAAATGAACCTGCTCTCCTAGATCCTATCTAAACAGAGAGTAACCCTACAAATGGTCCTGAGACCCCCCTCTTTCAGAGGTTATGGAAGAGCAAACATGGGCAGTAGTTTCCAGACAGAAGCCACCATGTCAGCAAGGAATAGCACTCTATCCCTGGACTTTTGGGGACGACCCATGGTAGATGCTCAAGGGGGAAGGGCTCCCAGCTCAAAACCAGCTAAATTGCTAATAGATTCTGGCATCACAGTCAATACTCTACATCCCAGCTTAGTTGGCTTTGAATCAAAGACTCCAGTAACCATGGCATTAGTGGGATATGGAATGGGCAGGCAACAAGCCCCAGTTTGGGATAAGATTCCACTGCATGTTGGCTCCATTTTAGATTTAATCCAGGCATGTGAAAACCAGGGAGAAGACGATGGTATTGAGGTGGAAGAGTTTTAGTAATCAATATATTTGAGCCATCTGTGTTAGAAATGTAGAAATAGATGCCAAGTGTCAAGTTAGCCACATACAGAGAGGACTCTGGGAGTTGAGGCTCCTCAGAAAGAATGTAATAAATATAATGCTGGAAGATTTCAGCAGCAGACATGTGCAGGATGTTTAGAGGCATATGACCTTTGGAAGGACCTGAATGCATTAGAAGCCACCAGAGTGGTATGGTAAAGCCATAATAAATTACTGCTAGGCTCTCTGTACAGAGGGGCCTCCTGATACTCTTCTCTGCTGATAAGGATGACATTGGAATGTGTCCAGATGTGTTTTAAGTAGATTATAGTGTATTCTGAAATCTTTATGCTTATTGCTTGAAAATCTATATGTTTAGAATTTGAAATGCTCAATAAGGTGTGAGAATTGGATTTCTTTGTCTGATGGGGTATAAAACGAAGCCATATTCTTCTGTTCTTTGCCCAAAACTTTGGAATGCAAATTCCTTTTGGGA